AAATGGGAGATGTGAAGCCATCCCAACTATGATTAGATAATCATTTCTATAGCTGGGAGGAGGCCCTGTRATCCAAAGCTAATAAGTACTGCTTCCAGAAAGTGATGTGGTTTGTATATGTGTAAAACAGACAGGTGTCTAACAGTCCAGCTGCTTCCTGGGGTGGCAAGGTTTCTTAGAAGTCTGCTGGATTTCCTTCTGCCTGTGCTTCACAATGAACTAACCTTATCTATGTTCTAAATCAGTATTTATAGCTTTATTAAACAACAACTTTCAGAAAACAAAACAATAATATCCTGAACTTTGTAGGCAGGACTTCAGCAGATATGTTGCAAAGGCTAAGTATTGGCAATGGTTAGCATAATTACTGATTTGTGAGTAATTATGTATTTGTGAGTAACTAGCTAATATCTGTTTAATATCAGGGATCAAAATTCAACCTCTAGGATGCTAATTTTCCAGAGTTTCCTCAGTAAACTGACTCTGCTTGTAACAATGTTTAGACCATTGAAAAGGCAGTAAATAGTATCGAAAGGGCATTGTCRGTATTGTGGCCTTGTGTTACAGTTTTCCAGAATTAGACACAAGATTCTACAAAAGCTATAACCTCCATGCAGATGGAAAAATCCCAAAGAMGTATTGAAGGCTTCAGAAGTTATTCTAACCTGCATTAGGCTGAACCAGAGAGTTCCCAATTTCTTTGTTCAGGATGGGGAAGCCCTAAGGTTTCTTGGATACCAATCACTAGTTGGGATAAGGTAAAAGAGGGACTACAGATGAGTGCAGACTTAGTTATTCTTTCAGAAATCAAATTGTCCAGCTTGCTGCCAGGAAAAAAAGTACTTAATATATAACAGTGCCATTTCTAAGGTTGTGCACAATATTTTCTTCATTAAATAGGTAATTTGATTTTCTCAGGATAATTCATAAGCYGCTTCTGAACAATCCTGCGGGCATTAGACAGAACACACATCCTGTGTGTAATGAAGAGGCTCTGTCCCACTGGGGTGAGGATGACTCTCCAGGGGATCATTCACTGGCTCCAGGGACCTTGAATTTGTGTTATCTTCTGCTGCCAACGAACAACTGGATTTACTTCGGATCCTAATTCTAAAAGCCTGAAATTCACTTAGAAGCTACTGCCTAAATCCTAGAAATACCACGATCTCTCATCTTGTCACTGCCCCACTGAAGCTTCAGGAAGGTAGAGGAGCCCTCAAAGCCTCAGAAGCTTGACAAAGTTATTCAAACCAGACTGTCACCAGGGGAGATACAGAGGTCCCCCAGCCCCATGATCAGTGTGATTTATTCTCTTATGTACTCCATCTGCTCAGAATGTGAGAATCCAATGAGGGTTGAAATGTCTGTGTGCAGAGAGAGCATTATGGAGTCTCCTCAAAGTCTGCAGTTTGCATGATTACACAGCATTCCTGGGTTTGATTCCAAAATCAGAAGGTGCTCTATAGGCTTGAGTTTGCTAGTTACCTCTGAAAATTACCATCATTCATGTGATGGCAAATAATGAAGATGACTGAAAAAATGCAGTTTTGCTCCAGACGACTGTATTTCCTTTAAGAGTTTTGTTTTTAAAATGACCACAGTATTGGAATTTTACTGTCACCTTCAGGCACTTCTGCAGTGTTTTGATTACTCTTCAATCATTCTCTGGAAAGGGAGACTCTTGATCTGCAGAGTACTGTCTCCCAGGGATGCTTGAAGTGATGCTTCAGATCAAAAACTGATGAAATCATCAGTGTCATGATGGCACCTTGTTCTACCATGGCACTGAGAACAGTTTATCACACATTTCTCTTTGCAGGTTTCACACAGCATCTCAGTTCAAAGGCTTTTGGTGTTTGGGCTTGTGACATGTTCTATTGCTGGGCTTAATAACTTTTTCAGCCCACTTTTCTTTCTTCCTGGAAAGAAACTGCATTTGAGGAACTTTAATACGTAAGAAGACATTTGGTCAGTGTTTCCTAACCAGCATCATACTATTCCTAGAGGGCACAGGTTATTCCATAGCTCAACTAGATTGCTTAATTTATTTCTGAACAGCAACAACAATTGTGCTTCTAACCTTAAGCAGGCAGGGGTTTATTGCAGTACATTCCTCTCTCCATGCAGGCAGRGATGACTCAGGTGCTCACTTGGCAGGGGACAGAAGTCCTGGCTCTCACCTTTGGTGCCACCATTGGTAGCTCTCTTGTGACAAGGCCTGTGGGTGCTGACRATTGCTGAAAAGAAATCTCATTTCTAAGTAGCAGATTTTTTTCAGCCTCTGCCTTTCTTTACTACCTGTATTTTTATTATGCAGTTCCCCTGAAAAAAAAAAATGTGCTGGGTAGTTTACCCTCAGACTAAAGGTTAAAAAAGTAATCAGTAAAAAAAAAAAAGTGGCAATATTTATGGAAGATTACATTAGTGTTTTCTTGTTTTTGTAAGCAGAGCTTGCTTCAGAGACAAAATCATGTGATACGGTGTCAAGCAGGACCTTCACAGCAAACGGTATTGATGCAATTATTTTCCCAACTGCTGCAACATTTGAGACTGGATCTTTGGAACCAGATAGAAGGAGCAAGGCAGGCTAATTGGGATGTTGATGCTGTACCACTCAGAAAAAACACTTTCACCTACATCTGATGCCATCAGTTGTAGACGAGATTGAGGTGACTGTAGGAAGTATGGAAAAGGCTATTTCACTGTCAGCAAAGGCTGACAGATTACTAGGGCATGCTAACCTGCAATGGGGAGTGCAAAGTAAAACTTACCAAACCAGCTGCAATTTTTKGGGGGGAAGGCCTGATTTATAGGCTTTTCATGACACTTTGATGTTTTAGGTTTTTTTAAAGCCTTTAAAAATCTCTTTTAATGCAAGGAAATCTTGCTTGTTGGATTAGTCTGAGAACAACTGGAATCCAGCTAGTTCCATCTTAAATAAACACTGTAATGATTTGTTGCAGTAGAATTATTGCAGGAGGTCCTGGACTTGCTCAGGCAGAAGTCAAAACATGCAGCTGAAGTTCTTCATTGGTGCAGCCAAACCAGCTGATGGCTATTTTTTCTGCTAGACCATTGCAAAATAAATAGTGTGTTAAGAGTTCTCGGAAAGGGCTATCTTGGGGAAACCTCCAAAGAAGCACACCCTCAAGCATTTCTTTTATGGCTTTTTTTTTTTTTTTTTTTTTTTTTTTTTTTTTTTTTTTTTTTTTTTTTTTTTTTTTTTAGTCTGCTTTACATATTTGTTTTCCCAGTGATCATACGGAAATTTCGTGAATACGGAAAGTTGTTCTTATTGCAAATCACTCCTGCAAACTTGTATCAACAGCAATTCCCACATTGCCATGGTTACATCCTTATCACAGTTTGACCTTTCACTTCATTACAAAAAAAACCCTCATTTCAGTATAATGTTCAATTTAGGAAAAAAGCCCCAAACAAGCAAGTTTTATTTTCCTTTTCAAGGATCAAATGAGGTCACTATGGTCTTTTCAGGAAACGGGCCAATGTTTGCATTGCAATAATGCCATTCACTTACAGCAGGTAAGCTTTCTTGACCTGTGTYTTTCTACTTCCCCCTGCAAAACTGAACCCCTCAGGATTAACCATTTTGGACTGCAGCTGTTCTTATTGCTCCTAAAAATCAGAAAAGGCCATTAAGATTGCTTGGCCTGACTTTAGCAGAACAGTGTGCCCAAGCTGGGAACACTTTGTAAGGTACCCAGACTTCAGGCTTTTGCACTGAGTGCTGCCGGCTGGAGGTACCGAGCACATTTCCTGCTCCACCAGTAACTGATACTGGTTCAGGGACYTTCACTGAGTGCAGAGCACTTTGTGTCCACTTTTGCTGATGTGGGAAACAACCCAGGTCAAGATCTGTCCTGTTGTCATCTATCTCATGGAAGGAAAGAGGAAAAGATAAACAAGTTTTTGCTTCCCAGCACTGCCTTGGATGGCAACAGATTGGAACATGTCCTTCTTGCACAAAAGAAAACTTCATCTGTTCCTA